TGCTGAGTGCCGTGTGAAGATGACATGTCCTCTGATGCATTCAGCCGTCTCATAGGAAGACGTAGAGTGGGAAGGGGAGGGGGAGGAGTGATGCACCAACCTCGTTGCAAATACCAGAGCACTTAAACAGACCCCTTGTTTAGACGGCATGTTGTTGAAGGCAGGGCTGATTTTGCAGGCGCATGTTCTAATGAGGCGCTTAGAGTGGGAGAGTTTGATTTTAAAGTCCATCTGAAATTCCTCAATGCATTTTGGTTGCGACACTCCAACTAAATATTTGTCACGGATGGAGTAGATTACGGGAAGAATGGAATGTGGGGTTAATTGTCATGGGATGGCTAGTTACATCGGATTAAGTTTGTATGCCGCATACAGTCTTACTCGAGCAGGACTTCCTTAACTCACCACCTCGGATGACCTGTTTTCCGTCCGCTAATACGTCCTTATTTCGCGTCTTTCGAATTGCGCCATCTGTTCCGTCGCCCCGTTGGTGTAATAAAACAAACGTATGACAGAACTGCGAGTTTTCTCTACGCCTTCCGCGGATTCCGTTAGTTTCCGCTTCCCTCTGCCCATATCATACAACTAATATTAACATCCTTCCCGTACGACAGATGTCCCTGCGTTCTATTTTCTCAGGAAACTCACATATTTCCTCCCTGCCAAAACAAGAACTGCAGCTCACATCGCGCGAATTCCCAGCTGCATTTGCCTTTTTACTTGACGTAACAGAATCACCGTGGCGGCCGACAATATCACGTTGTGTCCAGAAGCAGAAGTGTTGATTTTCACGCGGATTGACTTCTCAGGGTAGGCGGACTGCGCAGCATCTACCGCACTCCCTCCTCCCTCACTCACCGAGCCTGTTGTCTGACAGACCGCAGGTGGGCTCAGACACCCTGACTGACCCAGATCCAATGAAGATTCATTGCATCGATGCTCTCTGCCAGATGCATGAAAGGAATGTATGGATTGGTTTTTATTTCTTGACAATTCTCCTACAGTTGCTCGGCAGAGAAGATCGTGTCAATGGTTGTGGGGTGTCGTCAAAATCCTTGTTAGCCTTCAGGGAGAAGTTCCTGTTGCAGTTAGCAGTTGAGACGATTGAGGAGGAAGCAGATAAAGATCATTCCGGCAATGTTGAGCTGTGAGATTCCCATGTGGTTGTCCTTGAAGCTCCCCAAGATTCGTCCCTGCCGCCACATCGCCTCGAACCACGTCGTAAATTTCCCCATCAATCATGAACTTCTATGCTCATAGACTTCGGTCGTGATTGTGTCGGATCGCGGTGCTTTCGCACCGAAGAGTTGCCGTGATGTCCTAATTAATTCTTGGAGGGAACATGTGAGGTCTAAGTCATCGTCCTGAGGGAGTCTGTTGTTGTCGACATCGGACATTGTGGATGGACGGTTGACTGAGCTTCTGCAACGTTCGGTTCAGCTCTCCGGGATTTGTGGTTTCTCGCTGAGAAGCGTTGTTTCGTAGTTACTGATCCCCGACGCGGTTTCCTTGGTATTGGGGTTGTTGAACGTCGTGTTTGACGCAAGGAAGTCCCCAATTTTATTGCCGTCCTCGAATTCTCTCAAGCGTTGCGCCCTACCCAGGTGTTCTCTATCCCCAGCATTCTCTGATTCACCAGCCGTCGACAGCGGAAAAAAGGAGTTTCGTTTACGCCAATCCAGCGTTCAGTGTAGACTTTTGTGCAGCCAATTGTTTTCTGAACGCAGAATGATGATTTCCTCAAAGTATTTATCAAACCAGTCCTGGTGTTAGCGGCAAACGCGACCGAGTACATTCATGGGCTGCAGTTGGCACCATCGTGCCTCCACAGCGGCGTTGTTGTCTGGCTTCTGCAGATTTTCCAGGTTGTGGCTGAAATCGGGGTGATAAGCAGACATAACTAACAGAACAGTGTTTAACTTACCTGATAGTGGATTGCCCTGTGGTCTACTGCAGGTGTGCGTTCGCTGCTTCATCTTGGAGATGACGAGGCAGCGAACTGCGAAACCACCGGCATCTCAGGTCGCCCTTGTCACCCCCCGTCCCTGGTGTCCGTCTTGCCTCCATACGAGGACACAGTTTGACAGTGGTCAGTGCTGTGATCATGGGTGCAGCCAGAGCTGGTGAGGAGGAGGAGGAGGAGGAGGAGGAGGAGGAGGAGGAGGGAATTCGGACAGAGTAACGCGATGTGGAGACACACAATACCAGATTTCCTCATTCGGTTTAACCCACAAATCGATGCGGTTACCGGGGTGTGGCCGCTAAAGGGAACCTAACTTCAATGCAATACACGCCTGCCAGTCAGTGATTACCTAGGTACTTCTATACACTCTTAGCCTCTCTATCATCTTACCAGCGTCTTCATGGTGCTTGCAATTGCTCTGGTCAAATGGCAATTGCGCGTATTATAGCCTAACTTAGGATTGTGATGTAACAATACGTGTTTCGGAATGATATGCGCAAGCTGATGCTGTACATGTCCGGTGACTATCGGAACTCTAGAGTTTACCATTCAAGTTTGTCTCTCTTGTTTAGTAATACATCGCAAATAATTACAAGGCTGACGCTATGCAAAATGTTTTTTTTATGACTGACCCGAACCTGGCAATTCGACCGTCGATTTCGACAATGTCTACCGTTCGGCTCCACAGCAAGGTGAGAGCAGGGACGCGACTCGCTCTGCGACATATACCGCACTCTCTCCTCCTCCCCCACCTGGGCCCGGCATCAGGACGTAGTCAAGAAGATGGAAGGCGGGAGAGGACACATGTTGTGGGTATGGCGTAAACCCGCACCTAGACGCACCACCCACACTAACAACAACTAGAAGACACTTCTGTGAGTTTGCTAATATCTGAATGTCTGGAGGAGACTATAATGCAAAAAGTGCAAGCTATATATCTTCCGGATTATTCACTCGCCTTTGCCAGGCCCTATCAGCAAACCTCTATTTTGTGAACCGCCAACATGGCATATCTTCAGTCTACTGCCAACGGCTGCGCCATATCTCTCTGATATAACGGGTACACTTTTCGGAACGGTAATGGGGAGAAATCCTCTTCCTCATCTCCGCACTCATGCACTCCGTAATCTCCACTGTTTCCTTCCGGACTACATTTAAACTGAATCTGTACAGAAACTATCATCTCGTCCGCCTTTAGTCACTCGGTCTGGGCCTGCGATATCTTTCTACTGTGGCACTCACATACCCTCTGCTCAACTTCCAGTGTCAATTCACGAACTTGCGGGGGAGACGGCAGGTGGTGGAGACGGCAAAAACCTACATCGAGGAGTACAACCACACCCCCTGGTTCTTAACACACCGGGAAGACGGGTTGCCCGTTAGCCTAGCTGCTGGCTACCCGCCGCGTCCACAGGTGGCGGATAGTGGGACGACCTTCAGTGAAGGTAAGCCGCGAAATAAGCAGACCCAGGTCTGAAGAATAAGCAGTCGCGGACCAGCAGTGGCATTGCTACCAGTGCGCGGTGGGCTGAGGTCTGGCTTGCTGAAAGCCTTATAAAAAGCCGCAAAACCCAATGACGGCATTGTGACATGACGACCGTAAACCGCCATTACGTAAGTTTACTTGCCACTGCTGCCCTGCGGTTAGGCTTTTAAGCCAAAGCGCTATGGGAGATAAGCTCGAGCTAACAATCCGAGCCGCTGTTGGGGAGTCGCCCGTATTCGAAATTTCCAAGAAACCTCTATATGTCCGATCACTGGCCGGGGTTTCGTATCACACGGACATCCCGACAAATCAATTCAAATTTTTCCGTGCAAACCTGCTGCTATACACCGATACGAAGGCAGGCAAAGCAGCTAATTACCCCGGGGGGGTTCCGAAAACGCAGAATGCTCGTTTACGTTGAACAGGCCTCCAGAGATCACCTACATTTTGCCACCCCTCCCCCCCACCACCACTTATCTCCAGTCAGCTGTGGACTGCTTCGCCATGTCTCTCACATCTAACGAATACAATTTTTAGAACGATAACGAGGAGTAAATCTTGTACACCAACCCTCTTCAAATTATGCCCGAAAGGTAACACGCAGATCTGAGCCGAAATCTATCAGCTACTCTGAACTGATGGCATCCGCAGATTTTCCAGGCTGTGGCTGAAATCTGGGTGGTAGGCAGACATATATAACAGAACAGTGTTTAACTTACCTGATAGTGGATTGCCCTGGGGTCTACTGCAGGTGTGGGTTCACAGCCTCATCTTGCAGATGACAAGGCAGCGATCTGCCCAGTCACCGGCATCTCAGACCGTCCTTGTCAACCCCTCCCCCACCCACTTGTGACCGTCTCGCATCCGTACGAGGACGCAGTTTTACAGTCGTCAGCGCTGTGATCGCGGGTGCACCCGGGCTCGTGAAGAGGAGGTGGAGGAGGAGGAGAAGGCGGTGTAATGTCCAGGCTTGTAGAAGGAGGAGGAGAAGGTGGAGGATGTCCATTTTTCAGCCGCAAATTTCGTTTGAGGCTTAACACTCCTTCTAAGCCTGCATTGTCTGTCCTAACGCGGGCATTGATGTCATCAAGAACAACCAGCCTGTCCGCCTTCGACACAGATGCCAGGGGGGGGCGGGTGTAGGTCATCGTATAACCTGGACTTCGCCCTGTCAGAGCCGGTATTGGGCGGGGCGAAGGGGCTGATGATTGTGACGAATTGTGATTGCTGAAGAGGCAGGCACAGTCTCATCAGTCGAGCAGTCGTCCTGCGGATGCCAAAGGCGAGGCCAGTGTCGCGTTGATCTGGCTTTGGATGGTCGCTCCGAAAGAAGGTGTAGCCGGTACCCACTGCCTCCAGTTGGCCTTTTTCGGAATAATGGGGCTCGCTGAGTGAAGCGATGTCCATCTTGCAGCGCACCAGTTCTCGTCCGATTAGCGCGGTCCTCGGATCCAACCGGTTGCTCCGCGGATTGTCTTAGAGAGAACGAACTGTTCAGGCTGCCAGATTTAGCACCGTCGCTATTTTAACCTTTGGAGTGGGTAGGGGGCGATGCGGGTATCGGAATATCGGAATGAAAGGGATACAGAGGAGGAGGAGGAGGAGGAGGAGGAGGAGGAGGAGGATGAGGATGAGGATGAGGATGAGGATGAGGATGAGGAGGAGGAGGAGGAGGAGGAGGAGGAGGAGGAGGAGGAGCAGGAGCAGGAGGAGCAGGAGGGAAGGCGGACAAAGTAACGGGATATGGAGACACACAATACCAGATTCCCTCATTCGTTTTAACCCACCAATCGATGCAGTTAGCGTAGTGTGGCCCCTTGGGGGGAGTCTTACTTCAATCCAATCCTGTTCGTCCATGATTACCTACGTACTTGTATGCATTTCCTTCCTCTCTACCATCTTACCAACCTCTTGATGGTGCTTCCAATTGCGCTGGTAAAAGCCTAACTTTGGATTTTGAAGTAACAATACGTGTTTGCGGGTTGATCTGCACGAGCTCATAGTGTTCATGACCGATGACTATTCGAATTCTAGAATTTACCATTCAAGTTTGTCTCTCTACTTCAGTAATACATCACAAATAATTACAAGGCTGACGCTATGCAATATGCCTTTTTTGATAACTGACCCGAACCTGATAGTTTGACCGTCGATTTCGACAATGTCTACCGTTCGGTTCCACAGCAAGGTGAGAGCAGGGACGGTGACTTGCCCGCGAATCAGTTTATATCTATCAGCTACTCTGGAATAATTGCATCATATTCACAAACTGCCAGCAGATAGTCAGTAGAAGTGAGGGATTCACTTATGCTGTCAGTATGGTGATTCATTCACTAAATGTGTCATTCAAACCCGAGGTTGCAATCGCCTAACATGACATATCTTCAGTCAGCGGCCGACTGCTTTGTCATGTCTCTCAGTCCGACTAAATTTACTATTTGGAGCGATGATGGGGATACGACCACTGCCTCAGCTCCCTATTCATGCATTCCCTTGACTTCAATGTTGTCTGCTTGACTAAATTTAGAAGTCGTCCCCTTCCACTAACTTGTGTTCTGTCTCTTTCTTCCGGTCTCACTTGGTGAACTTGCGCCGGTGTCACCTGGTGAAATTGCAGTGGGATGTATGGAGGCTAGAATAGACTAGATCCGCCTGTTGACGTCAGTCTCAGGACTGATTAAAATGCGTCAATTAATTATCTTACGCTGACGACACGCAGTGCTTAATGATGTCAGTCGCAACGCAATTGCATCCACACCTACTGCAATATCACAAGCGTACGATGTTGCTGAATGCTTACCTGCTGGATGATGTCATATACTGCCTCGGGGGAAACCGGTGACGTGCATTTTGGAAGCCGAAATCGTACATGAATACTTGTGTTTCCCATCCGAGTACGCAGGTATTGGTAGTAGCAGCAGCAGCTCCAATTTAATACTCCGCAATCACCTTCGTTTAAGTAAAATCTCTGCCGTAACGCACCTTTCACGGAAACTAGTTTGAGGAGGGGATTTTGCTGCGTTGTTACTGTGAGATGGCTTGAGTTTATGGCTACATAGCAAATCAATTAGCAGCTCTCACTGAGAAAGGGCTTAGTATTTCGCGAATTGGATTCACACCACTGGGTGTGAAAATGCGCACCTGAGCTAGCCTTCGCTGTTATGTGGAAAGCAATTTTGCAATTTTGCCTCATTCGCCTCAAGCCGAGACCTGAGCAGGGTTTCTGTGCCTCGCATTGTCTCGCAAGTCTGATATCCTCAAGGCTGAATTCCTCAGTTTCATTATCATGTTGGTATATATTTAAAATTCACTGTTTCTTTACGTTGGCCCGCAGGCGTCTTACCAAATTAGGTTTATCCTGCAGTGAAGTCTGTTGAGGGCTTTCGAACATTCAGATCATTCGTTCCCTTTTTGGCCGTTTACGGATGCAGCGGTATCTGACTGACCCCGTCTCCTCACCGGTCCTTAAGTTGTTAGGATGGGACTCAATGGTTGGCGCGACGTGAAGTCTGCGCCTAGGCGTGCCTTAACATCCCCCATGGGGACGCATCTTATGCTCGTAAGAGTGCCATGAAGACCACTATGTGGAGGAGTCAATGTGGCCTGACTTACCGTCCGAGGTGACTAACTTGGCTTGCCGGTCGGCAAAATTCCAATCCAGGACTCTTCGCACGACGTTATAGATTCAAGCGGGCTGGATTTATTACGAGTGATTGAGTTTATTTCCCCGGAAGATGGAGTGCCATTGTCGGTCTCACACTCCACGTGCATGCACTTCATGATCTCCTCTGTTGCCTACTTGTTTGCATTTAGAATTAATTTGTGCAGAAGCCATCCTCTCGCCTTCCTCTACTCACTCGGTCTGGGCCTGCGATATCCCTTTGCTGTGGCACGTACATACCCTCTGCTCAACTCCCGGTGTCAATTCATGGACTTGCGCTCTGGGATGTATGAACATCTCTGTCGAATTGCCCGCGGGCGCTCCGCTTCAGACTTTGTGTTAAAGCACATTTTCAGCGCCACTGAGAGGCGCCTCTGTGGATTCATCAATATCTGGCTTGCAACCAATCCTGGACGGGTAACCCAAGGCAGTGGACGTCTGATGAAACGAACTACAACTATCTAGTGAAGCAATTTAGACACGATTAAAATCTAGTTATATATGTATGTACATTGCCACTGCGTCTAATGACGAGCAGGGTAGCCCATTTCGGAAAATTACCCCATAAACCTTCTTCCGCTTCCAGTGACTAAGTTTATTTCTGACCGAATTTTCTTGGGTGGCTTTTTCCAGTGAATGTTGAAGATCTTTGGGAGCAGTAATTTGTTGCACACTCGGCGTTGGAAAAGTTTTTATAACTTGTTAATGTCTGACGCAAGCGCAGTTATTTTTTCCTACGCCGATGCTGGAACAACAATATTTTATGCGATAGAAGCCGTCACTAATATCTACTAGGAAACGTACTCTATAAACCTTCCTTTCCTTCCAAGTAACTTTCATTTTTTCTAATAAAATTTCCTGGAATGGCTTTTTTCAGTACATGCAGAAGGACCCTGTGTGCTGGGTTTTGTTCCACACTGGACTATGGGAAATTTTTGCAGCATGTTAAGCTCTGACGCGAGCGCAGTTGTTTTTGCTTGCACCGATGTTTCAACAACATCCCTCATTTTCGAACGACTTAAAAAGGGGTGCCCTTCAGTCAGAACTTAGATGTCATTTCTGGCAAAGTTTGAACTAATCCTATATGACGCAGAATGTTGCAAATCTCTCATCAAAATTCCTGACACCAACAAAGGAGGATGTTATCGTAGGGAGGACGCTCAACAATCACGATGAAGTCAGCCAGTGTATCTTGATGTCAACAGAGACACAATCGAATCAACACCTACTGCAGTGTCATATGCGACATTCCGGGCCAATTCTCAATTCCTCTCGATTTCTGTAAACTTGGCGGATGGGCGTACTGAGGAAATCCCGCGAACTGATGCTGCTGAGGCGTCTGAAGACGCATTGTCTTTAGCTTCTTGATCTTTGTGTTGAAGCAAAATTCTTCTCCACCAAACAGTGCTATTAGCAATTAAATGTGTCCCAGTACTTTCATCAATATCTGGCTATCTAACCAACATCTGCAGTGCAGAAATTGGATGTTACGTCTGTAGACAGGTTTGTGGTCGCACTGAGTAGGTGATACATTTGTTAACGTCAAGATGATTCAATGAGTAATGCCGCAAACAGACCTTAACTTCATTGTTCCAGGATTTAAATTCAATTTTGTAACGTCGGTTTGATGACAAAGCCTATTCGTAGATATCCTTGCGCATTTATGCGTTCGTAGAGAAACGTCCGAGGAAAAAGCAATCTCCAACGATACAGCCAAACCCAACGGACTGGCGAGTGTCTCATTATAAAAAAGCCATATGCAAGTTCGTCATAAGGTGGTCAAGGAGGCATCACGTGCAGACTGCTTAGAGACCTTCAGCAACTTTGCGTGCCTTACGCACGGATATGACTATGAAAAAGGAAGACTCAGTCGCTGAAACAACTGGTTTATTCACGTGACCCTTTCAATTCACACTCGAATCCATCATTCGAGGCAGGATCACCTAAGGGCTGGGCTACTTCTGGAGGAAAAAAAAGCAGTCTATGAAAGTTTATTTGTCATTTGTGATGCAGTCAACTGTACCTAAACCGGGAAATTTATTATCAACCGTGTACATGAACACGTGCCAGCGGTGATGAAACAATATCATTTACTTCAGTGGGGCGCACACCTGCTCGACACTGAACCCAAATTTATATGGGAAGAAGTCCATATCGCAGACATCTACCCAGGGAGGAAGTGCCGCGTGTTCCTAGATACAATGCGGTCGCACGAGACGTGCATCACTATACATACCGTGTTTGATTTCCCTAAGTTGAGAAGGACGGTGCCATCCGGACCGGTTGGGCAAAACCAGCAGAAACGTATTGATACGAACTTAAATCAGCCACCTAATCTCTTGTTAGGTTTGATTAGAGTTACCTATTGTTCACTGCCAATATCTTTCACGGCTTGCTAGACAGCGACTCTCTAGGTGTTGATTATTTCACCCACAGCCCTTACACACAAGGACAAATATCTCGATAGAATAAAAGTGGGCCACGATACACCATATGCCAGTTGATGTGAATTCTATTGTATTCAAGCCCGGAAGTCTATCTCTGTCCGTGTGCGTGAACACCACCTAGAGATTGGGAGACAAGGCCATCCATCCCTGCTAGCCGCGAACGGACAGGGTACAAATTTCACACTGGAGGAAACTCACGTCGTCGGCTAGAGTTCTTGGAAGCGCACTCAACCACTTTCTGCAGCAATGGTCCACAGACCTTCAACTGATGTTAGGGTGTGCCCTACAGAAGCCAAGGATACAAAAATTCATCACACAGTTTTGGCTGTATGGAGCGTACACAAATGCCATTTCTGGATCACGCAATATTGGTTACAGTTGACCGGAAGTTACAGATTGTACGGTGGGATGGAGCGAATTGTTAGACGTGCAGACAAGCGGTGTTTAAAAAGTACCGTCCCCCGGTTGAATATTTCCTTGTGTGTTCGAAATGGTCCATTGTCAGTTCGTAGATGAGAGAAGGGCCTGCGCTTGCGTAGTTCCAGCATCCACAGATGGTATATGCATGTTAGACCCAAAACCGGAATCATCACAGCGAGTTCGTTTCACAAACTGCTAGAACCCACAGGACGGCCATATCCGAACAGTTGCCGTGGATATCCTCACTTCCTGACTGACTGATCCCACGAAAATTTTAAGTGTTTTTGTATATTTCTAATAATCATTATTATCGTAAGCATCGTGCTGCCTGCCCCCTCCTCATCAGTCGAAAATAATAACGACAAATTTGGAGGACTAACCAGAACTCAGAGTGTGCTTACGGACACGCAGTTCCCTCTTACTTCCTGCCCTAAAATTCGATCGACTTATTTGGCACACACACTAATAGTGCTCTTTGTAAAGCAGCAGACAGGTTTTGTCACAAAATGCATATCTATTACTACAAATGTAAGTTAAACAGAAAAGGCGTGATTGTCAGTCGGCTCAGCACGAAGAATCTGTTACACTTCCTCCTCCCAATTTGTTCGTCCGATGCGTCCAGACTTGGAGTCGGCTCTCTCTTTGGCCATGTACACTACAAATGGAAAGTGAACATGCACAGGTTGTGGGTTCATTCAACACAAGCAAATTCATGTGGGGAGCTCAATTACTCACTCCGATAACACTGCTTCTATCAAGCCTCACGCTATCAAAACAGAATAAAGTATGCAAAGTGAGGCGTAGACACACAAACGTACCCTCATATTTTGTCGGAAGTCGTACGCAGTGGCTCCCATCGCAAACATACTTCTGTCCATTAAGAATGGGGAAGGTGAGACCCGGTGTCTGACGGAGACGATGATCATCATATTGTCGTCCAGACATGACTTGTCTGAGAGGTGTGGTTTCAGTGAATAGCAATCTCATCAGAAGGATTCCAATTTATAGCGGGATTTTTGTCGTTACCATCGTCGTCGCCACCGCGCTGTACTGTACCGACGAGGGCTGCGTACGTTCGTCACGTGTTGAGGTAGGAACGTGAACCAGTTTAGCACACCAATCAGACTGCAGCATGCCTGGGAATGCGGATTCCAGTGCTGTTTTGTTTCGCATCAAACGTTGGTGAGTGCCGTGTGAAGTTGACATGGCCTCTGATGCATTTACCCGTCTCATAGGAAAACGCAGAGTGGGGAGGGGAGGGGAGGAGTGAGGCACCTACCTCGTTGCAAATATCAGATCGCTTAAACAGACCCCTTGTTTAGACAGCATGTTGTCGAAGGCAGGGCTGATTTTGCAGGCGCATGTTCTAATGAGGCGCTTAGAGTGGGAGAGTTTGATTTTAAAGTCCATCTGAAATTCCTCAATGCCTTTTGGTTGCGACACTCCAACTAAATATTTGTCACGGATGGAGTAGAGTACGGGAAGAATGGAATGTGGGTTTAATTGTCATGGGATGGCTAGTTACATCGGATTAAGTTTGTATGCCGCATACAGTCTTACTCGAGCAGGACTTCCTTAACTCACCACCTCGGATGACCTGTTTTCGGTCCGCTAATACGTCCTTATTTCGCGTCTTTTGAATTGCGCCATCTGTTCCGTCGCCCCGTTGGTGTAATAAAACAAATGTATGGGAGAACTGTGATTTTCCTTTACGCCTTCCGCAGATTCCGTTAGTCTCCGCGTCCGTCTGTCAAAATGATACAACTAATATTATCATCCCTCCCGTATGGCAGATGTCCATGCGCTCTATGTTCTCAGGAAACTCACATATTTCCTCCTTGCCAAAACAGGAACTGCAGCTCACATCGCGCGAATTTCCAGCTGCATTTGTTTTATTACTTGACGTAACACCATCACCGTCGCGGACGACAATGGCACCGTGTGTCCAGAGGCAGAAGCGGTGATTTGCACGCGAATTGACTTGTCAGGGTAGACGGCTTGCGCAGCATCTACCGCACTCCCCCCCTCCCTCACTCACCGAGCCTATTGTCAGGCAGCGTCATGAATACCGCAGGTGGGCTCAGACACTCTGACTGACGGAGCTACACAGCTCATCCAAGCGTGTCAATCAGACCTGGGCGGCTCGCCTCCCAAATGATTGAGGATGCAATAGAAGCCACATTGTGAAAGAGCCATTGCAGCCAGTGTCTGCGTCTTCAGAGCGGAGGACCGCCAGTTGACAGCCTTATCAGTCACGACTTTTGGCGTCTCGTGAGAGATTCAAGCGCGCGTCAGATTTGTTTTAGTGAGGAAACGGGTGAAGTGCCGTGGGGATAGATCCCAGAATCGGCCTTACTCTCCCATTCAAGTTGATACTGGACAAGGTGTGTTACTCCTGAGAAACTGATTGTTGCATGACCGTTCTTTGATCCGCTTTCATGCTCAACCAAAATTTTACGAAACAGGGGTCGAATAGGTCCATTTTTCTATGCATGCCTGCTTCTGTTGTAGCATTGAGGGCACAGTCGTCCGCAAGGAAGTGTTCTTGGACAGTGACTGATGATGTCAGCCCAAATGCCTGCCCTCATCGGATATTAA